AATGTGGTGCCTGATAAAAGGCTAATTTTGATGGAATTATCTATGTGACGCTCTCACCCACATTACTAAGAATTTGCCCTTAAAATTTTAAATTTTTAACTAAGATTTTTTATAGACCATAATTACCCGATTGGATAATCCTATACAAGCCCCTTTTTGCAATTTTTTGCAATTTTATGCCATTTTTTTTCGTTTTTTGACCCCAAAAAATCACCTCTTCAAAGGAGATTTACTGCTATTACCCAAATTTCGTGATTTTTAAAAAATTTTTTCGGGCTCATTGATAAAATTTCATTTTTCTAGCTGCCGCACAACTCTAATTTCCCCTCGCGATCCTTTCGCCTGTGAGTTGATTAAATGCTAGAAAAAGTTCCAGGCTGAATTGAAAACTCTACTGATCAGGAGTTGAATATTGGCCTAGGAATCTGAGTTCGTAGCAGAATCTCGCTTATGCAATGATTTGGTGCTAGAAAAAGTTCCAGGCTGAATTGAAAACTCTACTGATCAGGAGTTGAATATTGGCCTAGGAATCTGAGTTCGTAGCAGAATCTCGCTTATGCAGTGATTTGGTGCTAGAAAAAGTTCCAGGCTGAATTGAAAACTCTACTGATCAAGAGTTGAATATTGGCCTAGGAATCTGAGTTTTAACCTAAATATTATATAATTATTATAAATAAGAAAATATTTTAAGTACAATTATCTATATAATAATAATAAATAGGGAAATATTTTAAGTACATTTATTTATATAATTATTATAAATAAGGAAATATTTTAAGTACAATTATTTATATAATTATTATAAATAAGGAAATATTTTAAGTACAATTATTTATATAATTATTATAAATAAGGAAATATTTTAAGTACAATTATTTATATAATTATTATAAATAAGGAAATATTTTAAGTACAATTATTTATATAATTATTATAAATAAGGAAATATTTTAAGTACAATTATTTATATAATTATTATAAATAAGGAAATATTTTAAGTACAATTATTTATATAATAATAACTAATGCTTATATTTAATAGAATTAAACTATTTCCTAAAGTGTCAAAAACTTTTATACCTCTTATACTTAAATATAAAAAGATAGGCTAAACTAAGCCCTTGGGCTCATACCCCAATTATGAGATTATTCTCTCTTTTTAATTATTAAATTTTATAAATTATTATTTTTAAATACATTAATTTTCAGAACATTATTAGTCATTTCTTCTTATTCTTGATTTTCAATATGAATAGGATTAGAAATTAATATAATATCATTTATCCCATTAATAATCAATTCTAAAAATATTTTTTCATCAGAAAGAGCATTAAAATATTTTATTATCCAAGCTTTAGCTTCAAATATTCTACTGTTTAGAATCATTCTTAACTTACATATTAATCCTTTATTTTTTAATAATAATATTCTAATAATTATATTAAATTGTGCATTATTTATAAAATTGGGTGCCGCTCCTTTCCATTTCTGATTTCCAGAAATTATTATAGGATTAAATTGAAATAACACTTTAATTTTAATAACTTGACAAAAAATTGCCCCTTTAATTATAATTTCCTACAATTTCTCTATTACCTTATTTATTTCTATTATTATTATTATATCTTCAATAATTAGAAGAATTCAATCACTTAATCAAATTAATCTACAAAAAATTCTAGCTTATTCTTCTATTAATCATATAAGTTGATTAATTGCAAGATTAATTAATATACAAATTTTTATTATATATTTTATTATATATTTTATCCTATCAATCAATATTATTATAATTTTAAATATTAATAAAATCTATTCTTTAACACAATTATTTTATTCTCTAAATAAATTTAAATATTTTAAATTCATTTTTTCTCTTAATTTTTTATCCATAAGAGGATTGCCGCCTTTCTTTAGATTTCTGCCTAAATGATTAATTATCAATAAATTAATTAATAATAACTTTTTTATATTAAGATTATTAATATTAGTCTCAACTTTAATTATAATTTTCATATATATTCGAATCACACTTCCTATATTAATAATTAATCATATAGAAATAATTTCCCACTCTAAAAATATTTTTAAGTTAAATCTATTTATTTATTTAACCAATATAATCTCATTTATAGGACTTATAATTTTTTTAATTTTATTTTTTTAAAAAAAGAATTTAAGTTAAAAAAAACTTTTAACCTTCAAAGTTAACAATAGAATTTATTCCTAATTCTTAAACTATAAACCAATTTAAATTTCCTTTAAGCTTGCATCTTAAAATCCTATTCCTATAGACTATATAGTTTAATAAAGAAATATATCTATATTTATAAATGAATTTACAATTCATCGCCTAAAATTTCAGCCACTTTATTAAATTTACCGAATAAATGACTTTACTCTACTAATCACAAAGATATTGGTACACTATATTTTATTCTAGGACTTTGATCTGGATTAGTAGGTACTTCTTTAAGTTTTATCATTCGAATTGAACTAAGAAATCCCCAATCATTAATTGGTGATGATCAAATTTTTAATGTAATAGTTACAGCCCATGCATTTATTATAATTTTTTTTATGGTTATACCTATTATAATTGGAGGATTTGGTAATTGATTAGTTCCTCTAATACTCGGTGCTCCTGATATAGCTTTTCCCCGAATAAATAATATAAGTTTTTGACTTTTACCACCATCTTTAACTTTTCTATTAATTAGAAGAATCATTGAAAAAGGCGCTGGAACAGGATGAACCGTTTATCCTCCACTAGCATCTAATATTGCTCATAGAGGAAGTTCAATTGACTTAGCAATTTTTAGCTTACATTTAGCTGGAATCTCTTCAATTATAGGAGCAACAAATTTTATTTCCACAATTATTAATATACGACCTCATAATATACCCATAGATCAAATTTCACTTTTTTCTTGAGCTGTGGGTATTACTGCTCTATTACTCCTTCTTTCTCTTCCTGTACTTGCGGGAGCTATTACTATATTATTAACTGACCGAAATATTAATACCTCATTCTTCGACCCAGCTGGAGGAGGGGACCCTATTTTATATCAACATTTATTTTGATTTTTCGGACATCCTGAAGTTTACATTTTAATTCTTCCAGGATTTGGAATAATTTCTCATATTGTCTCTCAAGAAAGAAATAAAAAAGAAACTTTTGGAACTTTAGGTATGATTTATGCAATACTAGCTATTGGTCTTTTAGGATTTTTAGTTTGAGCTCATCATATATTTACTATCGGAATAGATGTTGATACTCGAGCTTACTTTACTTCTGCCACTATAATTATTGCTATTCCAACTGGTATTAAAATTTTTAGATGATTAGCTACACTTTATGGAACTAAGTTAAACTTTGAACCAACTACACTTTGGTCATTAGGTTTTATTTTTTTATTTACTATTGGAGGATTAACTGGAGTAGTCCTAGCTAATTCATCTATTGATATTATTCTTCATGATACATACTATGTTGTTGCCCACTTTCATTATGTTTTATCAATAGGAGCTGTATTTGCAATTATTGCAGGATTTATTCATTGATACCCATTATTTACTGGATTAACTCTTAATAATAACCTTTTAAAAAGACATTTTATTTTAACATTTATTGGAGTAAATTTAACTTTCTTCCCTCAGCATTTTCTAGGATTAAGAGGAATGCCCCGACGTTACTCCGATTATCCTGATTCTTTTACTAAATGAAATATCATTTCTTCAATCGGTAGATTAATCTCTACACTAAGATTAATATTCTTTATTTATATTATTTGAGAAAGTTTAATTCTTAACCGACAAACATTAACTACTTTAAATTTTCCCTCTTCAATTGAATGATTAAGATCACTACCACCAGCTGAACATAGATTTAATGAAATCCCTTTAATTACTAAATTCTAAAATGGCAGAATAGTGCATAAGATTTAAGCTCTTAATATAAAGTTTATCTTTTTTTAGAATTGTCTACTTGAAAAACATTAACATTACAGGACAGTACTTCACCCTTAATAGAACAATTAATTTTTTTCCATGATCACAGATTAATAATTTTAATTATCATTACAATTTTAATTAGTCAAATTATATTATCTTACTTATTAAATAAATTTAACCATCGATTCTTTTTACAAAACCAAACTATAGAGCTAATTTGAACTATTATACCCATTATAATTTTAATTATAATTGCTTTACCATCTCTGCGATTATTATATATTATAGATGAACTTAATAAACCTGCCCTTTCTATTAAAATTATTGGACATCAATGATATTGAACATATGAATATTCAGATTTACATAATATTAATTATGACTCTTATATAATTCCACAAAATAACTTCAACTTTCGATTATTAGATGTCGATAATCGAATAGTAATTCCTTTTAACACTTATATTCGTCTATTAATTACTTCAGAGGATGTAATCCATTCATGAGCTTTACCTTCAGCCGGATTAAAAATTGATGCAACTCCTGGACGTCTTAACCAAGCAAATATATTTATTAATCGAACTGGAATTTTCTTTGGTCAATGCTCCGAAATTTGCGGTTCCAACCACAGATTTATACCTATTGTAGTAGAGAGAATCTCTTCTAATTTTTTTCTTAAATGATTAAAAAATAATTAACATTAGATGGCTGAAATTTTAAGCATTGATCTCTTAAATCAATTTATAGTAAACTAAAAAATTACTTCTAATGAAAAACTTAGTTTTATTCTAAAAACATTAACTTGTCAAGTTAAAAATATCTGCACCCGTTAGTTTTTAATACCACAGATAGCTCCTTTAAGTTGATCATTTTTATATATTTATACAATTGGAATTTTTATTATTATTATTATTTTAACTTATTATATTTATTTACCTAAAATTAATAATAAAATTTATTTTAAAAATTTAAATTTACCTAAAATTTATTGAAAATGATAATAAATTTATTTTCTTCATTTGATCCTTCTACAAATTTATTTAACTTAAATTGGCTAAGAATTATATTAAGTTTGATTCTATTACCATCTTTTTTCTGATTTATTCCTTCCCGTTATAATATATCTTGAATTATTCTTACTAGAAGAATTCATAAAGAATTAAAAATCCTACTTCCTCAAAATATAAAAAGATCAACATTAATTTTATTAAGAATTTTTATTTTTATTATACTAAATAATTTCATAGGATTATTCCCTTACATTTTTACTAGAACTAGCCATATACCTATTACTTTAAGTTTAAGATTAAGATTATGACTAACTTTTATAATCTTTGGCATTGCCTTTAATACAATAAATATATTAGCTCATTTAGTGCCCATGGGAGCCCCTGCTCTCTTATTACCATTTTTAGTAATTGTTGAATTAATTAGAAATTTAATTCGCCCAATAACTTTAGCCATTCGTTTAACGGCTAATATAATTGCTGGCCATTTATTACTAACCTTATTAGGAAATATAGGTCAATATATAAATTTTCTAACAATTAATGTTTTAATTTTTATTCAAATTTTATTATTAATTTTAGAATCCGCAGTGAGCTTAATTCAAGCATATGTATTTTCTATTCTTATTACTCTTTATGCTAGAGAAATTCATTAATGACAACTCAAAATCACCCTTTTCATTTAGTAAACCCAAGGCCTTGACCATTATTAATTTCTTTTAATTTATTAAATCTATTAATAGGGCTTATTTCTTGATTCCATTTATATCAAATTGATTTATTGATTTTTAGATTAATTTCTATACTATTAATTTTATTTCAATGATGACGAGATATTACACGAGAAAGAACCTTCCAAGGATTACATTCTCTAAAAGTTTCATCTGGTCTCCGATGAGGGATAATTTTATTTATTATATCTGAAATCTTATTTTTTATTTCATTTTTTTGAAGATTTTTCCATAATAGTCTTTCTCCTAATATTGAATTGGCAATAATATGACCCCCTAAATCAATTGATACTTTTAATCCTATAAATATCCCCTTATTAAATACATTAATTTTGTTATCTTCAGGTATTACAGTAACTTGGGCTCATCATAGATTAATAGAAAATAACTATTCTCAGGCACTTCAAAGACTTATATGAACTATTGGCCTAGGAATCTACTTTACTCTACTTCAAGCTCTTGAATACTATGAAGCTCCATTTTCAATTTCAGATTCTATTTATGGAACTTGTTTTTTTATAGCAACTGGATTTCATGGATTTCATGTTATTGTTGGTACTACATTTCTCTTAATTATAATAATTCGTTTATTTATTAGGCATTTTTCTTCAATTCATCACTTTGGATTTGAAGCTGCTGCATGATATTGACACTTTGTAGATGTAGTATGATTATTTTTATATTTATCTATTTACTGATGAAGAAGATAATTTTATTTATATAATATAAATTATTATATTTGACTTCCAATCAAAAAATCTAAATTTTTAGTATAAATAATAATAATAATTTTTTATCTATCATTAATAATTATAATCATTATTTTAATATTAATAATCTTAATTAATTTTTTATCTATAAAAATATTAATCGATCGTGAGAAAAGTAGGCCCTATGAGTGTGGATTTGATCCAAAAAATAATTCTCGTATACCATTTTCATTACATTTCTTCTTAATTGCTTTAATTTTTTTAATTTTTGATATTGAATTAACATTACTCTTACCAATTATTTTCTCATTAAAATTTTCAAATATTTTTAGATTATTTTACTCTATTAGTTTTTTCTTGGTTATTCTTTTACTAGGATTATTTCACGAATGAAAATTAGGGGCATTAGAATGATCAAACTAAAGGATAATAGTTTAAGAAAAACATTTAATTTGCATTTAAAAGATATTCCATAAATTTATCTTATTAAATAGTATGAAGCAAAAAATTGCCTTTAGTTTCGACCTAAAATTTAGATGAATAATCCTTACTTTAATTGAAACCAAAATAGAGGTCTATCACTGTTAATGATAAAATTGAGTTTTCTCCAATTAAAGAAATATCTTTAAACTATGCTTCTAACATAGGTTCAAAGCGCTAAATGCGTTTATATTTCTATGATTATATATATATAAAAAAAATATTTATATAGTTTAATTTAAAACATTACATTTTCACTGTAAAATTGATATATTTATCTATAAATTTTTCATTTAAAAATAAAATTATTTCCTTAGTATCTTCAATACTATGCTCTATTATATAAGCTATTTAAATTATTAAATTAAATAATTAAAATAAAAGTAAAAATAATAATTAAAAATAAAAATAATAAAATTTTAAATTTATCTATAAAAATCTTTTGTAACCCCTTAGAAGAATTAACTAATAAAAAAAATAATTTTTTTCTTCCATAATACTCCATTCATCCTTGATCTAAATAATTTAATTTTTGACCTAAATTTAATACTAAATGATTCAGCCCATAAGTTGATAAAATTGGTATATTTCATATAAAAGACTGAAACTTCACTAAATTAAGAAACCTTAAAGATTTAATTTTTATGTTAATTCTTATTTTTGATAACTTTAAACCTAAATAAATTCCTAATAAAATTATTAAAAAAGATAATAATTTCATTATTAAAGGTAAAAAAAAATATATAGGATAAATAAAAATAATTCAAGAAAACATTCTCCCTCTAATAACAATGAAAATTAATAATCCAAATAATCTCTTTATTATCAAATTATTTCTTTCTTGAATAGAACATAAACTATAATAATTATAATCACCTAAAACTAAATAATTAATTAATCGAAAAGTATATATTACTGTCAAACCAATAGATAAATAAAAAATAAAAAATATAAATATATTTATATATCCTATTCTTATTCTTTCTAAAATTAAGTCCTTAGAATAAAATCCTGATAAAAATGGTATTCCACATAAGGCCATATTTCTAAAAAAAAAAATTCTAGAAATAACTGGTATTTGATTAATTAATCTTCCTATATAACGAATATCCTGACATCCTCTAAAATTATGAATAATAATTCCTGCACATATAAACATTAGAGCTTTAAATAAAGCATGAATTAATAAATGAAAAAAAGCTAAATCTACTCTACCTAAAAATAAAATTCTTATTATAAATCCTAACTGCCTTAATGTCGATAAAGCAATAATTTTTTTTAAATCATTCTCAAAATTAGCTGCAATACCAGATATTAATATAGTTATTATTCTTAAAAATATTATTAAAAATATTAATCTTCTGCTAAAAGCTTCTTGAAATCGAATTAATAAATAAACTCCTGCGGTTACTAAAGTAGATGAATGAACTAATGAAGAAATAGGAGTTGGAGCAGCTATAGCTGCTGGCAATCACGAAGAAAAAGGAATTTGAGCTCTTTTAGTAAATGCAGCTAAAACAATAAATAATACTAATACTTGTATAGAAAAATCTCTTTTTATAAAATTTAAATAATAAATATAAGATCAACTACCATAATTTATTATTCAAGAAATTGATAATAATAAAGCTGCATCTCCAATACGATTAGATAAAGCTGTTAACATACCTGCGTTATAAGATTTAACATTTTGATAATAAATTACTAATAAATAAGACACTAAGCCCAAGCCATCTCATCCTAATAAAATTGATACTAAATTTGGACTAATAATTAATAATAATATTGAAATAATAAATAACAGAATTAATATAATAAATCGAGAAATATTTAAATCTCCTTTTATATAATCTTCTCTATATAAAATTACCATTCTAGAAATAAATAATACATATCCTATAAATATACAAGATATTCAGTCAATTAATAAAGAAAAAATTAAAGAAACAGAATTAAAATTTAATAATTCATACTCTAACAAATAAACTTTATCCTTAATTAATAAATTTATACTAATTAAAATTAATAATATAGAAAAAATCAAAATCCAAAATGAATAAATTTTACAAATTTTTATTACTTAAAATGTTTCCATTTCTTTAATTCCACAAATTAATATTTTTATTTATATAAAATATTTAAGTTTATTAAAAATTATAAATTAATAAATTTCTAATTAATAACAATATATTTAAAGGTATTCAATGTAATAATAATAAAAAATGTTCACGAATATTTATATTTATAAATCTAAAAATATAAGAACTAAATTTTCCATGCTGAGAAAAAGAATATAAATATAATGAATAAGCTCCTCTAAAAAATGTAGTTAAAAATAATAATAATATATTCAAATTTCTAAATCTAACTAAACTATTAATTAAAAAAATCTCACCTAATAAATTTATTGAAGGAGGAGCTGCTATATTTGAAGAACATAATAAAAATATTCATAAGCTTAAAGAAGGTATAATATTTAAAAATCCTTTTCTTAAATAAATTCTTCGTCTTATTGTTCGTTCATATATTATATTTGCAATACTAAATAAACCAGAAGAACATAAACCATGAGCAATTATTATAATTAAAGCCCCAATTATACCTATATAACTTAACCTTATAATTCCAGCTAAAACTAAACCCATATGAGAGACAGAAGAATAAGCAATTAATAATTTTATATCTCTTTGGCGTAAACAAATTATAGAGATAACTACAGCTCCAAACAATGAAATATTTATAATTAATAAATTTATAAATTTAAAATCTAAAAATATGATTATTACTCGAATAAGCCCATACCCTCCTAATTTTAGTAAAACACCAGCTAATACTATTGACCCAGAAATTGGGGCCTCTACATGAGCCTTTAATAACCATAAATGAAAAAAATATATCGGTATTTTAATTAAAAATACTAAAACTATACTTAAATATAAAATTAATCTAAAAGAAATTTCTAAACTAAAAAAAGATAAACTTCCATACATATAAAAAATAAAAAAAATACCTAATAATAATGGGAATGATCCAAATAATGTATACATTAACAAATAAAATCCAGCATCTAAACGTTCTGGTTGTCTGCCCCATCCAATAATTAAAATTAAAATTGGAATTAATCTAGCTTCAAAAAATAAATAAAATATAAATAAATCTATTGATATAAATGATAATAATAAAAAAATTATTAATAAACAAATTAAAAATAAAAAAAGATCCCTATATTTATTTTTTCTATATAAATTTTCAGAAGCTATAATTATTAAAGAACCAATTCAAATACTTAATAGTCTAAGACAAAAAGATATAATATCTATACCTAATATATATCTAATATTAATTATATAATTCTGTATTCTAAATCCAAGCATTAAGAAAAAACTAATAATAAATATTATAAATTGAATCAACCAAAATATATTTAAATAACTTAAAGGTATCAATATTACTAATATAAAAATATATTTTATCATAATAATAATATAGAATTTAAATAATCATTTCCATATCTTCGAATTATTAACACAAGCATTGCTAAACCTAAGGCACCTTCACATACACTCACAGTTAAAAATATTATTAAAAAAAAATAATCTCTTAAATTAAATCTTAATACTAATCCTATATTAAAATATAAAGAAATAACTAAAAACTCTAATCTTAATAATATCAATAATAAATAATTACTTTTTATAATAAAAAATAATAAACCAATAATAAACATCACTCTTCTAAATATATAAAAATTAATTATCATTATATTTTAACTTAAATAATTACTTAAATAATTTAATTAAAATACTGGTCTTGTAAACCAGAAATGAAATATTTCTTTAAGTTTCAGAAAAAGAAATCTCTATCCTTAATCTCCAAAATTAAAATTTTATTTAAACTATTTTCTGATATAATATATTTTTTATTAAGAATAAATTTATCCTTATCCATTATAGTATTACTTATTAATCATCCAATTTCAATAGGAATTATTATTCTTTTACAAACAATTATAATTTCCTTAATTATTGGATTAATAAATTTAAATTATTGAGTATCTTATATTCTATTCATAATTATTGTAGGAGCATTGATAATTATTTTTATTTATATAACAAGAATTTCCTCTAATAATAAATTTAAAAAATTTTATAATATTTTAGTTACTTTTATTATTATTAATCTTATTAATATTTTAATAATTTATATATATGACTCTTATTTTATCTATTTTAAAAATTCTAATGAAATATTTAATCCTCACAACATAGAACTATTCTTAAGGAAATATTTTAATTATCCTAATAATTTTATTTTAATTATAATTATAACTTACTTATTAGTAACTTTAATTACAATTGTAACAATTACCATAAATAATTTCGGACCTCTACGTAAAATATTCTAATGATAAATTCACCCTACCGAAAATCTAACGCTTTATTTAAAATTATTAATAATTCACTTATTGATTTAGCCTCTCCTTCAAATATTTCTTATTTATGAAATTTTGGAAGTTTGTTAGGAATTTGCCTTTTAATTCAAATTATTACAGGTTTATTCTTAGCTATACATTATTATCCCCATACTGAACTAGCATTTAATAGAGTAAGAATTATTTGTCGAGAAATTAATTTTGGATGATTAATTCGAACTCTTCATGCCAATGGAGCATCAATATTTTTTATTTGTATATATATTCATATTGGGCGGGGAATTTATTATGGGTCCTCAAATTTAAAAAGAACATGACTAATCGGAGTAACAATTTTTTTATTATCTATAGCAACAGCTTTTCTTGGTTATGTTTTACCTTGAGGGCAAATATCTTTTTGAGGAGCTACAGTAATTACTAATCTTATTTCAGCTATCCCTTATTTAGGAAACTCTATTGTAATTTGAATTTGGGGGGGGTTTGCTGTAGATAATGCTACATTAGTTCGATTCTTTACTTTTCATTTCATTCTCCCATTTATTATCCTTAGCTTAGTTATTATTCATTTACTTTTTCTTCATAAATCTGGATCATCAAATCCCTTAGGATTAAATAATAATTTAGATAAAATTCCATTTCATCCTTACTATTCCTTTAAAGATTTATTAGGAATACTAATTATAATTTTTAGATTAACTTTAATTACTCTAACTATACCTTATATATTAAGAGATCCTGATAATTTTACACCAGCTAATCCTTTAGTTACTCCTATTCATATTCAACCTGAATGATATTTCTTATTCGCTTATGCAATTCTTCGATCTATCCCTAATAAACTAGGAGGTGTTATTATTATATTCCTTTCAATTATAATTTTATACACACTACCAATTATTAATAATAAAAATTCAAGAATTAATTTTTACCCTATTAATAAAATATTATTTTGAATGTTTGTATCTATTATTTTAATTTTAACATGAATCGGTATATCCCCCGTAGAAAATCCTTATATTAACTTAGGGCAATTTTTTACAATTTGTTATTTTTCCTATTTTCTAATAAGATATTTATTTATAAATATATGAAATAAATATCTCTATTTATAGTTAATGAACTTGAATAAGTATATACTTTGAAAGTATAATAAAGAAATATAAATTTCTATTAACTTTTTAGGGAAATATTTTAAGTACAATTATATTTTAAGCCTAAAAAAATTAGTACTTAAAATATCTCCCTAAAAAGTTAATAAAATAATAATAATAATTATAATAATATATAAACTAAATAATAATTAATAATAATATTACACTAATTATAAATATAATTATATATATATATATATATATATATATATATAATTAAGTTAAAAATTTAAAAATATATAAATTATAATAGAAAAAAATAATATTAATAAATTTAAAGAAATAGGTAAATAATTTTTTCAACATAAATTTATTAACTTATCATAACGATACCGAGGCAAAGATCCTCGAACTAAAATTCATAAGTAAACCATTAAACTCAACTTTAAATAAAATACTCAAGATCAAATATTACCCCCTAAAAAAATTATTCTACATAATATTCTTATAAATAAAATTCTTGCATATTCTGATAAATAAATTAAAGCAAATCCTCCTCTTCTATACTCAACATTAAAACCAGAAACTAATTCAGATTCCCCCTCAGCAAAATCAAAAGGAGTTCGATTTGTTTCAGCTAATCTAGTAATGAATCATATAAAACATAAAGGATATATAAAATAAATAAATCAAACTATTTCTTGAAATTTAATAAAATCTAAAATATTAAAACTTATAATTATACAAATAAAAGATAATAAAATTAATACTAATCTTACTTCATAAGAAATAACCTGAGCAATAGCCCGTAATCCTCCTAATAAAGCATATATAGAATTTGAGGATCATCCAGCCAATATAATTCTATATACTCCTAATCTTGATACTCTTAAAATAAATAAAACTGATAAATTAAAATTTAAATTTACACTTAAAAATGGTATTGATAATCATAATATAACCACTAAAAATAAATTTATAATAGGAGAAATATAATATAAATTAATATTAGATTTTAAAGGAAAAGTTTGCTCCTTCAAAAACAATTTTAAAGCATCTCTAAAAGGCTGAATCATACCTAAATATCCAACTTTATTAGGACCCTTACGAATCTGAATTCCCCCTAAGACCTTGCGCTCTAATAATGTTATAAAAGCAACACTCAAAAATACTATCACTACTAAAATTAATCTCAAAGAAAAAACTATAATCTTATCTAAAAAAATCATTTGTTATTTGTATATAACATACATAAAAAGATTCTAAATCTTACACAATTTTCTGTCAAAATAACAATTATTATTATTCTAAAATAATTAATTTAATAAAATTTTGGTCCTTTCGTACTAAAAATTCTTAATAAAATTAAGATAGAAACCAACCTGGCTTACACCGGTCTAAACTCAGATCATGTAAAATTTCAATGGTCGAACAGACCAAATTAATTTAGCTCCTACACCAAATATAAATTTTAATCCAACATCGAGGTCGCAAACTTTTTTTTTGATTTGAACTCTAAAAAAAAATTACGCTGTTATCCCTAAGGTAATTTAATCTATTAATCTTTATTAAAGGATCATTTTTCCATAAATTAATGTTTTTATATAAAAAAAGTTTATTAAATTTTTAAATCACCCCAACTAAATAACAAGTAAAATTTATTATTTAAATTCTAAAAAATAAATTTATTATATTATTAAACTCTATAGGGTCTTCTCGTCTTTAATTAATATTTAAGCTTTTTAACTTAAAAATAAAATTCAATTTAAATTAATTTGAGACAGTATTTTTCTCATTCAACCCTTCATACAAGCTTTCAATTAAAAAACTAATGATTATGCTACCTTTGCACAGTCAATATACTGCGGCCATTAAATTCCTCATTGGGCAGGTTAGACCTTAAATTATTTTCAAAAGGACATGTTTTTAATAAACAGGTGAAAAAAATATTTGCCGAATTCCTTAAATTAACCTTAAACAAACAATTATATATATATATATATATATTATTTACTAATTTAATCATTATTTCATAAATTTATTAATTTAACTTATTATTTTAATAAAAAAATTAAAATATTAATATAAATCTTATACTATAATAAAAAAATTATAACACTTTTTTAAAAATGAAAATTTCTAATCCTATTTCTTTATTAATAAATTTATTATTTATAATTATCTATTTTAAAGCTCATCCCTTAAAATATAACCTAATAAAAATAACTTATTAATAAATAAAAAAATATTATTAATTATTAGTAAAATTAAATTTTTTTCTTAAAAAACTAGATATATTTAAAATCGAATAGCATTTCACCTCTAAATCTATATTAATAATATTTATTTTACAATAAAAATTATATAAATTTAACTCTTTTAAATTCGAGAAAATTATTAATAAATAAACTATATTTAATTAACCCTGATACACAAGGTACTAAAAATAAATTATTCTTTTAAAATTTTAAAAAATTTCTTTCACAATACTAATAATCTATAATTAAAATAATTATTTTATTTAATAATAAAACTCTAATATTTTTATTTAAATAAAATTTATAACTTAAATTAAAATAATTTTTTTAAATTCAAACTATACTGAATTTCACAGTAAACTTTTTAGTGTAAATAAAATACTTAATAATAAGCTCTAATTTGATCTTTCTAGATACACCTTCCGGTACCTCTACTTTGTTACGACTTATTCCACTTTAAAGTGAAAGTGACGGGCAATATGTACATATTTTAGAGCTTAAATCATATTAATAATTTAATTAATATTACTTTTAAATCCACTTTATTATTAATAATTATATTAATAAATCAATATAAATTAATTTAATGTAACCCATTTAATCTTTTTCATAAATTACATAATGATCTGAAATTTTTTCTTAAAAAACAGCTAAATATTTAATTTCAATAAAAATATTTTTAACGACGATATATAAACTTAAAGAAAAAGTAATTCAATTCGTGGACTATCAATTAATAAACAGGTTCCTCTAAATAGACTAAAATACCGCCATTTTTTTTAATTTTGAAGGCCATAACTTCTAATAATTAAGCTTATTATATTTACATTTAAAATAATAGGGTATCTAATCCTAGTTTAAAAATAAATTTCCTAACTTCATTAATTTTAAATAAATTTTATTAATAATTTAAAATTTCACCTAATAAACTTTTACTTATACTTTAAATAAACTAATTAATTAAAACTTAAAAATTTTATAATGCACTATTTGTATAACCGCTACTGCTGGCACAAATTTTGTCAGTACTTAAATTTTTTACTAAATCTAAGTTTCCTTAATATTTAATCATCCTTATTGCATAACGATTTATTTAAAAATCAAAACTTACATATAATTCATAAGTCATATAAAAAAATGAACTAAAATATTCAATTTTTAAAAATCTCACCTATCTGCTAGACATACTAATCTTGGGGGCCTAAGACAGTACAAAATTTTTCAAAATTTTATATAACTTTTTTATTCAAAAATTTTTTTTTTTGATACCTAAAGATTTCCCTTCTTTTTAGTAAAAAAATCATTAATTTTTTGAATAAAATTTCTATATTAAAAAAAAACAAATTCCCGACCTATAGAATTTGTCCATCCCATTTTATATAGAAATCGTATATTAATCCCAAAAATTTCGCTTTATAATTAAAATTGCCCCCAGGGTAAAATCTATTTTATCAACCCCCCTCACTTTTTCAAAAAAAATTTTTTTTTTCGATTTTTTTTGCATTTTTTTTAAAGGGGGGGGTCAAAAAACTCCACTAAAATCTGTGAAAATCCAAAAAATTTTAATTTTTAAAATTTTGGATCAAAATTACCCCTAAAATGAATTTTCCATGATTTTTTTTTTTTTTTTTTGAAATTTATTTTTTTCTAGACTCATTAATTATACTTATCATAATAACCCACTTAATAGATTTTACATAAATATTAAAAAAAAATAATCAAATATAAGAATTTGCCCTTAAAATTAAAAAAAACCCGCAATATTAATTTTCTATTTAAAATAATAATTTAAAATAATAATCCTAAATAATTTGTATCCCTATATATATTATTTATCATATAATAAATTTATATATTATTATTTAAAGTAGTTTTTTTTTTTTTTTTTTAATATTTATAATTATATAAAAATTATTTTTATTTATATTATAAAAATAATTTAAAAAAGGATAAGTAAATATTATTATATATTAATATATACGAAATATAAAATAAATAATAATCATTATTGAATTATTTCTGCTAGTACATATCTATTTCCTCTATATCAAATAGAACTCTATCATATTGACTAATAAGAATTTGAAGACAAATAACTAATAAGGTACTAACGATCATATTGTTTTTATGTTTCTTTATTTTATTTTTTTTTGTGAAATTTTTTATTAATCTGATCATAAGAAATTAATAAATATAAAAATTTCAATAAATTTAATATGTTAATCTAATTCAATGTTAATATTTATATAGTTGCGCACTTTGAAACACTTTTTTTCAATTTTTGACTGGTTCGACCTCATGACCAAATAATTTTTTCCTACTAAAATATAAAAAATTGACCTTACTACAAGATAAAAATCACTAATGGAAAATTTGCCTTTTGTCAAAATCGCCCATTGGCATTTTTTATTTTGTCCAAATTTATAAGTCTGTAAAAATCAATGGTACCGTGAAGTGCAAAACTTGATAACTAAGGTTTTTCATCCA